GACCAGACGCCACACATCGGTGATTGTTAAAAGCATAAACAGACCGCGGCTTCCCCCCCCCCCCCTGGAATGGTCACAGGAAACTGTGAGGGGAGATGGGGTTCTATCGCCACACCACGTTTTTCTTACTAGAACGTGAGTCCTTAGGCCGGGATGCCTGTTTCGGGAGAATCCGCTCCCTAAAAAGCGCACACTTCTAGGACAAAGAATACTCATCTTCCTTGCCTGCGATGCCAGACCTTATAATGGCTATCATGTTTTCCACAAATAAAAATAATGACTTGAGGTGTGTGAGTAATCGTCGACGAGCATTCGTGTGCAGTGTTGGGCCGATTTGAAGTGTGCAGGTATCACCATGATGGTGTGTAATTATGAGTGTGACGAAGTAGAAGCACCGCAATGCACGCATGTATGCGCGGGGATCTAACGAAGATCTCGAGTGATGGGGATCTCTTGGCGAGCGGCAGAGAAATAGAAATGCATCGGGTGGTCGAGAAGCACGCCATGTGAGGACGTCTCGATCAGACGCTGCTGGTCCGGGGCCCAAACAGGCTTCCATGACCACGAGGACTACTAGGCTGGGCATCGCCCCACCTCTCCCCGGCTGTGGTTCTTAGCGACGTTTCTGGAGCTTGGCTGCCGTTGTTCGTGACTCTGGCCTGTCGCTGTCCGAGGTGCCGTTCTCGGCCGCTACCGTACGCCATTCTTTGTGGCATTGTTCCTCCTGACATCCCCGGTGCTGTAATAGGCGCCGACACTGCTACGCTGGGATTCTCCCTGACGTGTATCCACTCAGCCGGGCCGCGCATTGGCCCTGATCCGCAGGAGCTAATTCACTCCCGTCCTAGCGCCGAGTCCACACGGCCCTCTTTCGGCCCGCTCAGATGACGACCACACAGAGTGCAACGCCGACTTGACTCCATGCACCAATGCATCCCATCCCTTGTTCGGGGTACGCCAGACGAGAGTTCGGAGCTTCACTCTTCGACAACTCCAGTACTGAAGCTCCGATAGCTGCAGTAGTGTAAGTGTGAAACTTGTTTGTGATATATATATATATATATATATATATATATATATATATATATATATATACACGGTGAATTACGACGGCGGTCACCGATGCCAGCGGTAAGATTCAGCCGAGAGTCTCTACATAATTGCTATCGCATTACAAGATGAGGCTGATCGCTCTCTTTGAAAATTGGTATAAAACGAAAGTGCAACGTGTCTTCACAAAGGTAGCTGAGCTTTTATAGTGCACTGTTCTGATACTAGAGCGAATAAATGAATTCAACAACTGCAAAAACTGCAAGCCACTTGAAACTTGCAGCGCGCACCCCAAGCAGACAGACGCACTATACTAAAGCACAAGTAAACACAAAACTATGATCCATCTCTCCAAACGGAACCCTGATGAGATGCGAAGCAGCACCGGTTTGCCCGGCGTTGACCCTGCTGAAACGGGCGTTATCGCGTGTGCTGGAAAACGGTTTGAAGCGAAACCCGGTGTAGCGTTCACTCGAGTAAACGTTTGTTAGAAAGGCAAACACACGAGAGGTGGGACGCTTGCACTCGGCTTCCTTGAACCACGTCTAGTCGGTGTTACCCGCGCCCCGCCTGTGCCATTGAACGTGATCGGAGCTCTCGACTCGCACCTCGTTGGTGTGGCTAGTCTTCTACTGCCAACGCTTGCGTTCGGCCTCCCTGGCTCGCACTTCGTCGGTTTTGACTTCGTTATTCGCGAAAGCGATCCACTTCGCTAACACTCGCAACGCTGACGACAGCCGGGAAAGGTAAGCGCACACAAGCTGGAAGCATGGCGCGATGGCGGCCCGCCCATCAGTGCAATCGCGCCGACTGCTTGCAGAACGACAGTCGTTTGCGCTGTCCGCATTGTCGGCGCCACGAGATTATCGAACTACGCAGAGCGCGCGCACGCGCCGGCTCACGACGTCTTCTCGCCCACACATCGAGGGAGGTGGCGCGGGTGAGATGATGCCCACGCGAGAAGGGGGCTCGGGCATTGCGATTATCGAGGCGGTTAACACATCGAACGTTGCGAGCGGTAAAGAGAGTGAAGCGAGTGAGATGACACAAGGCGAGTGATAACAGGTTAGGGAGACAGTGATGTCTACGCACGCACACTGCGATGAAAGGCGTGACCTACTGGCACCGTCTCAACAGCTGCGGCCAGGAGAGCTCGGCGCGGACGAATGGACAGCGTTACACAAGCAAGTCAAAGAGCTGCTTCGCATCTATAATGAGCGCGAACAGCTTCGTGTGTGCACTGCGTGTTCCTTTCGCAAACATGACTGGGGCTGCCAGCGAAGTGACCTATGTGGTTTCGTTACCAACTGAAACTTCAAAGCAAACTTTTGGTGGAAGCACAAGAGTACAAAGCGCCGAAATTCCGAGATAAGGGCGCACGCCAGTAAGTGACCACGCCAGATAGCATGTATACACACTTGGAGCGAGTGCGCCTAACGCGCGATTTTCGTGCCACCAACAAAAACGCACTGCAGTTGCTGAGCTCTGAATACATCGAGTGGTACATGGTGTATATAAGTGGTTTTCCGTTAGTTCCTTGCACAGCGTGCGTTTCATGGCCTTGTGGATAGCACCGCGCGCTGCATATCGTAAGCCGCTGGTCAATACCCCTCAAGAGAAGCTTTCCTGGTCGTTTTTTAGCAATAAATTAGGATTGAATGGACAATGTAACTTCCGTGACGGGAGTACGAAAAATACTTTCGTGTTAAAACAATTAATGGATATTGAGAGAAGCCGTATAGTGACTTGGGCAGCGCTGCCACACATATTTCGGTCTCCAACGCACACAATCAGCGTGGTGAGACTCCTCTTCCATCTCGCTGGTCAAAATTTTTTGTACGATTTCCATACAAAATCCTCATAAGAAGATCGTTCATGTAAACCCAAAAAACGGTCGTTTTGCGTATTCCTCACTCCTACGCGATCATTTCAACACCTAATTACGGGTATTCAGCCAGTACTTAATGAAGTTTTTGCACCGAGTCATCCGTTTGTGATTTTAATGGGTGTCCAGAGAGGTCATTGTTGTTGACAGACTCTGGATTTTCCCAGAAGCTCTTGGTCCGCATAAAAGTGCGATTTTGTTTACAGCACTGTTGCCATAGGCTTCCTGAAGCATCTCTGCCCTGCTATTTTTCCAGTTTCACAACTTTTTGCATGACGCTGCTCTAAAAACTTGTCATTTTTTTATTTTTTCACGAGGGTGCAGCAATGGCTTTACCCACCTCAAGAACTGCCCACCGAAAACCGAAACGCGACTTGCTTTGAAGAATATTTTCACCCCAAAAGTCTGCATCTATAACGCTGCGCCCCCCAGTGGCGCAGCTGACTGCCATGAAATTTCCGAGAACTTTTGGGACGGACTTTCTGCGTCACCAAGCTATTAGCCATCAATCTCAGTAAAGTGTTCTGCAATATTTTGAAGTTATGAGTGCTCGTGATGACAGCAGCATGAACGGGCAATTGTCCTCAACTCGATAAAGCTGTCCGGATGCTTTTTTCGACCTTCAAGAATTACAGGAATAGAGTGGAACATCCTGGCGATTCATGGAGCAAGAACGTGTCAAGTTACTTTCATTCTAAGTACTTGAAAATACATAAAATTGCGACAGGTTTCACTTGCCTTGGATGTAAATGAATGAAGTTGAGGCTCCCATTCTACATCACTAGTATCCTCAAAGAAGTAGGTCTGCGTCCTGACATCGCAATTAATGACGACAGCATAATGTGTTTGCATATCATCACCGCCCTAAACAATCGGTCCTGTGCCGCAGCGATGACGCTACTCACTAGCACCTTGCTACCGAGGTGTATTCATCAGGAATGGGTCAGTACATACTACCTCACAGTGTCTTTCAGTTCATATGCAAATTATAGTAATGCAGTTTTCTGTAGCACGCACAGGATTTCAAAAATTTTTACTCCTGCTCGGTAATGGAGCTTAATTATAACCTTTAACACAGCGACAAATAGTTAGGTGGCGAGATTTGATGGTTTCTGAAAGTGTCTTGGTCTCGTACACATTTTCTTGTAGCTCGATACTTCATGCAGTAAAAGTGGCACAGGCCGTGAGTCCTCACGTCCGATTTGTTCCTATCTTAACTCTGCTATGTGCCATTTCGAATCGTACAGCGCCCAAGCTATAGTGCATTGACAATGCGAGTTTGCAGGGGCTAGTAAAACACGGAAAACGGGTATCGATGCAAACAGTGTGTCTGCTTCTTCATACGCAGCTGTGTATTTTCGTCTGTTGCCGCAAGCCACTAGTCCATTGTTTGTCGGATGTCAGCTTAGTACTGAGAGTGCCTTTTGCTATTTTATATGCAGCCGTGACACTAGAGTTCAAATATGCACCGTCTACTGCGTTTATTACAGTATAATTGGCGGAAAGCAGTAGGTCCGTGCTTTTCAAGCAGCAGTCACGTATGGAGCGAATGACTTCAGAGAAGCGTTGTATCGTATTCCGTATTTAATTTTTTTTATTTTTATAAGCTATTGATACTTTTAGCATGTAATTTATTGTTGAAAGGCTCACCTATATCGCATGAAAAATATGCGTAGTGATTAACAAAAGGTTCTAGTACATCGACATTTGTTCAGGAATGCTTATTTATTACTTCTGCTAGGATTAGACATCTGCAGTCTTTACTGAAAGTAAGCAGTTCTTTTCAATCGCTCCTTCTTACGTGCTTGTTTCTGCACTGAGCTGTATGCTTCGTCCCAGACCACTACATATGTAATATCAATCTTAGTAACTGCTAAGGATGGCTTATCATTCTTCGCATAAATGTCCAGTGAAATAAATAACACGGTATAAAAATACTCTGAATTGTTTGACAAACTGACGGATTTTGCAAGTTTATGCTGCATGCATCAAGCGACGATTTGAGCGAGTTCTACTGATTTTTACAAAGTAACGTGTTATCCATATCTTCGAGAGGTCAACTTACCTCATCAGCTAATATTATGAGCTGATTTTTATAGGCAAAGCGAATGATCTCCTGCAGCTGGCACTCCGACATTACTGTGCCTGAAAATGTAAATTTGAACGTTGCTGAAAACAAGAAGATTCTTTTACGCAAACATACAAAAAATATCTCTTAGACCAGGGTTAGCCTAAGATAGTAGGCAAAAGACAAATTTGCGTGAAACGGACGCTGCGGGGGCCGGTCGAGAAACCAGCTAGGCGGGGCCATCGAGATAAAGAGAGAAAAATTGGTTCATTCGCAGTACTGCAGAAAATTGCAATAAAAGTCTTCCGTATTTTTGTAAGCACGTCAAAAGTTTGAAGTATAAAAATAGAGGTTAGGAGTGCAAACTGCATTTCAGGTCAGAAACGTGATGTCGGCCTTCATATAGAAAGTGAGAAGAAGGGGGGATCCGTTCTGACTTTGTGCTGGATTCCGCATGATACTGCCTAGCGCAGATTATGTTGCCGGCTTCTGACTTACGTAATAACGAAAGTTATACCGCACAACGCATTTTTTACAGTGCATGTCAATGTGCGTTAAGGAGAGATGCGAGTAAAAAAATGCAAGTTCTTTTGCCAAAAATATATATGGCATTTGTTATTTACTGTCGTTAGATGAGCTTCTCAGCTTTCACAAAGAAAATAATTAAGAATGTACCCTTCAAGTAGGTTTAAATCGCTTTTAAAGAGCGCAAGGTGGCTCTTGCTAAGATTACTACGGCTACTAAACACTCAAAAGAGCGCATTGTCTTATGCCCACTGGCAATTGTCACATGGCAGCTTACCATTACATTTCGCACGAGGAGTTCGCTAAAGGAACATATTCAAAATAATTTTCATAATGGAGAAAAATCATTTAGAAAACACATTTGTACGTTGATGAGCTTTGACCTGTACCTGTAAACCAGTTTTTCTCAAGGTTCATTTCGGGCAACTTCTTGATCTTAGATAGCAGGTTTTTTTGAACATCTGATAGCAATATCAGCATTAAATTTTTTGCATGTATCTTCAACATATCAAAGAGTCAAATACTTTCTTTGAAAGGTGATATCGTCTATATAATTATTACTAACCTAAAGAAGGCAATTAATATGGTGTCGGAGTTCTAAGAATTCTCACACTACATTGTTTTGTGTAATAAATCATTTTATACGCACTTTCTTGGTAGCTATTTTTAGTCTACACTTCATGTGGTGCAGTATGAAAAGTTATTAGTTCAGAAAAAAAGTTCAATGCTCTAAAATTTGTCCAGAACGAACAGTACTTTACAATTTCTCAAGGCACAAAACAAAAACTCTGCAACTTACAGTAAAACTAATAGACATTTAAAATGAGCAAAAAGGCGCCTATATACAGCAAAAGAATTATTGTACTGAGCTACAGAATAACCTAACGTTTTTTTAATCACATTGCCCCTTTGCTTCTGATTCCATTTGTGTGCTGTACTTCTCTCTTGAATATGCTAGCGTTTACATTGCAACTAAGCACGAGCGTCGCTTTCCTTTCTTAAAACGCACTCAATGAACTTCAGTCGCAAGCGATAATTTGACCTAAGTGCTGCAACGTTATTCAACTCAACTATGCGCCACTCACAAGAAAGATAACTCACTAGGCGGATTCGCAGGGTTAACAAGCAGGAAGCAGCGAGGAACACAGCGACTTTTGGCTGCATCCAGAGCCTTTTGCATATCGCTGGTGTTGTGCACCCAGTCTCTATCTTCATCGAGGTAATAGCACGCCTGCGGTGAAGGTGCACAAAGCAGGGTAACATACATCACGCTAAACATACTTCAGGCTACAAAACGCTCAGCGCCCTTTCGTACTAAAAGCTGGGCAAATATTCTTTGTAATTGTATGGCGGTATCTAATCTGAAATACTTCGTCAAAAAGTACCTAAAGTACGCAGACAAAATACCACCGGAATATACTTTTTGACAATACATTCCACTTGCGTCGCAATGTATACTTCAATACAACAATTCTTTATTAGATACCAACATATTAAAGCAGCAACGGCTTATGAATTAAACTTTCTACTAAAATATTTCAGCACTGTGAGAAGCTTTGTTTAACTTTCACGAAATTCTGGTTCACATCCGAATAGTTTGTGTTCCTTGCTTATGGTATATTATTTCCATTTCGAAAACAACCTATTTAGATTTGTTTGCCTACTTATCATAAGAGATCAATAATTACTGTGGTGTCGGTGGTTTTGCTTGATACTTTTCCAACTGATGGATGTCACTTTTGTAGCCAACCACCCAGTAGATTGCCATCTACTTAGAAGAACTTGAATAAAAACACCCCACGCGATGGCGCAACTACGGCTGTGTGCTCCAAAGAAGGTTCAGCTTAAGTTGAGGACGACTCAGCAAACGATGGAAAGGGAAATTATAGATGTAATCTTAAGAGACAAAAAAGAGCAGAGTGGATCAGAAAGCATACTTGGGTTAAGGATATTATAGTTGAAATCAAGAAGAGGAAATGGACATGGGCTGGGCATGTAGTGCGAAGGCAGGATAACCACCAGTCATTACGGTAACTCACTGGACTCTCAGTGAAGGCAGGTGGGTTACGGGGAGACAGAATTTTAGGTGGGAAGATGAGATTAAGAAGCTTGTGGGTATAAAGTGGAAGCAGCAAGCACAGGACCGAGTTGACTGGTGTATCATTGAAGAGGTCTCTGTCCTGCAGTGCATGTAGGCAGGTTGATGACAATGACGATTACTTCTATATTGCCGGTAAGCTTACGACCGTTTCTGTAATACCGTATTACACGACATGTCTGAAGCGGCAAGAACATTGGGAGAGATAAGTGCATTTTATGACGTATCGTTTTTACAGTGATGACATAAAACTACAAGTATTTTTTATAATCTACTGTCTTGCTATATCTCTTATATTTACTTACTGTATAAAGTGTTCGTTAGGAACGTGTTCAAAACACACAATATTTTTACAGTTTTTCCTTGAGTAACCTCGGGCCTCCCGGAAAAGTGTGCACAGTAGCGTGAGCAAGAGTTGGCACACCCTTTCTGTGTTCCCGCCCCTCCATCGATTTTTTTTTGCTATGATATACGAAGCGTAAGAGGTCACTCGATCAATGCTACCTGTCTGACCCCCACATGAAATAACCCCCACATGAAGTTACCCTCCCCCACCTCCCCGCGAAAACAATTCTGCCTAGACTGCTACATCTCAGACGTACTGTGGTGACCCAAAGCGTCGCAGCATACGACTACTGGTGAGTAGCAACAGTCAAAAATTTTAAGGTGACCTAAACAAAGTTAGCAAACACATCTAAGAAAAATATCAAGACCATGGTCGTAACATATCATGTTTGTGCAGTGAATACATACAGACCATATTAGTTTAAAGTTGAGACGCGTTGTTGGCCCTTTAAATTGTTGTAGACGTCTTTTGCACGTTACTGTAAAGCGACTCTTATATCAGGCTATTTTCCATGCCCACTTGAACTACTGCGCTTTAGTATGGGCAAAAACTGCGTCCACCAATTTAAATAGGCTAAAATACTTCAGAAAAGAGCGATCAGGGCAATAGAAAACATACCATACCTTGAACACACAGGACAACTCTTTGTTAAACATAAAATTGTTAAGGCAAATGACATATACAAATTCAGGTTGTTACAATCCTATATTATTAGCGCAGAGGAAAACTCGGCGCATTTCTCGCACTTGCAAATCTTGAACATACACAAACCATTGACTTCCATCAATATAAACGCCCATGTAAAATTTCGTTATCTCGCACCAATTACGGCACCCAAAGGCTTAGCCACCCGCTACCTACTATACTCAACTCATACGAGCAGTAAGACATAAAAATTGACAAATTACACATTATCGATGTGCAAACACTCTTCTTGTAGATTTTATTGTTTACATACGTCACTCTGTGTTGCTTTCCATCATTTTTGTGTACTTTTCTTTTACTTATTTATTTCTTTTGTGTAACCTTATTATGTGCCTTTCTTATGTACGAAAGCGATGATACATATTCTGCGAATTACTGTGCTCATGTGTTTATGAAATATTCCTTTTTGTTTGTATACCTTGACCTGTTATTTACTTTGCCTTCTGCTTGTATTGTTACTTGCTTTATAATATTTGTTTTTTCATTTCATTGTATTTCGTTCTACACTGTCATTGCTGACGTAGGGTGGACGGTGCTTAGTAAAGGTGCAATAACTGCAGCTTTTTTGCCGTCTCCCCATTTTTCGCCCTTGTATCTGTTTTGGTGAAAATAAAATCAATAAAATAGAAATAGAAATCAGAATAAATATACAGGGCGTTTGGTGGATATCAAACCAAATATATTCTTGAGATTTAACCAGGAATGAATGCAACCAGCGGCATGTGTTTGCCGTCATGAGGCACTCGTTGTGGTACTTTTATACTGAGCTTATTCGGTAGAATATTGTCAATTACGCAACATTTATATTGCTTGATGATCAAGGGCGTGTCTTCACTCTGCAAAGTGACTTTCTAAATGTCCGTTGCGATTCATTTTGGCGACGTACTTGGGGTGCGTAAAAGTTTCCGGGCCCCTACACTCTAAGACAAAATGGAGTTAAAAGGGTGTGTGGTTCGTCTTTTTGGAGACTCATGGGGCTGCCATAAACATCAATTCCTTTAAGAACTAAAGGCACTGGGTCTAACAGTTACTCCACACACGCTAGAACAAGGGACTAACACATAGTCCTCATATTTACACCTTAGCGGTTAACCGAAAGTCCTCACAGTTCCACCTTGACGAACAAACGGTTGGTCCATACAAATACTCCAATGAGACGAACTTTTTATCCGCAGTTTAAATATTGTTTTTATATTTACTCTCCGCCAGGCCTACTACTTTTTTCGCCTGTGTTTCTGTGCAGTGAGCAAAAAATGGCACAGAAAACAAAACGCGCAAAATTACTTTGCCCTCTGTGTGTCACTCCTTTTGCAGTCAAAGCAACAATGAAAGACTAAAGTGAGACATTGAAATCTTTTATTTTTTCTATATACACATGACGTTTATCCATTCTTTAAGTGAATGCTGGTGAAATGTCCAAGTCCAGCCTCGTTTTCACATCTTGTCAGTCTTTGTGAAGCTTCTCCGACGGAAGACAGGCATTGCAGGTGCCAGCGTACACAGCCTTCTCCGTGTTGTGTTGCTCAAGGCTGTACATTAGGATTGTAAAAATAGTCATTCACACGTGACAAAAAACGATTATGCACGTATACGGCAAGTACGTGCAAGTTGATATAGAAACATAGGTGTAAAATATGACCCGCAAACAACTTTACCTTCGCATCTCGTACAGTCCTTCTGAAACGATGGATAACAGGCATTGCAAAGGCCAGCGCACACAGCCACAGCCTTCTGCACGGTGTGTGTCCACGCCTACACAATAAGATAGTAAAAATAGTTAGCCACAAGTGACAGAGGATGAACGTGCATGCAGATGACAAACACGTAATTGTTGACATAAAACATACGTGTAAAATATGACATGTATTTAATTTCATCGCGATGTCACACACCGTCGAAGACGCATATCAATCCCCCGTGAACTTAATTAGAGCGCAACACCAGAAAACACGGGACAGAAAAGGAGCAAAAAAGAAAGAAGAGACGCCATATTTTCTTTCTCTTTTGCTCCTTCCCTGTCCTGTGTTTTCTGGTGTTGAGCTGTAAATCAGTTCACGATGGATCCTAACCAACTGGCCCAACTTATCGTCTTACTGCAATATCAATCCCCGTTGCGCAACAACTTAAATGCCGAGGCGCTGCGAACCACCATGCCCTCAACGAGTGGGTGATTTCTAGGCGACCAACGTCGTTCAGCTCAAGCAAGCGAACGCGAGAACGAACACGGCACTGCGCGCGGAGCGTCTGCCGCCAACGATCCTCGAATAGGAGTGTGAGCGTACCTGGGTCACTGCCACGAACAGCGCCGAGCTCGTTAGGAGTAAGCGCCGAAAAAACTGACGGTAATGCAGCCCTTTTCCTCAAACTTGAGAGTGCGAGTGCAGCGAGCAAACGCCAGTCCACCACCACGGCCAACGCCAACGCCCGGAGCCAAGCTGCTTGTGACCGATTGATGGGGAAGCCAATTGTAATGGGGGGCAATTTTCACCGAGTTCCGACGCTAGCGAAAGCACCGCCAATCCGTACCGGTGCACTTACAGCGCATGACGTAATACCACCAAGCTCGTTACGAGCAACCGCAACGCGTTTCGGATGACTTGCATCACAGGGACGAGGTCTCCGCTCAATATCGTGGGCCAGGAGCTCATCACAATAATGAACACGGGCAAGCACACGATGAGCGGCCGTCCGGGCGGCCGTCAGCTATGGCGGCCGATTTCGAGCCATCGAAAAGCACAGGTGAACTGCAGACGCTTAAGGCGACCTTCGCAGTGCATTTCGCGTGTGAGGTATGCAACACGACCGAGCCTGTTGCCGACAAGCGCGATTCGTAACGCACACGTGACAAAAACGGTAGAATAAATAATGATCACCTACTTGTGAAAGAATGCAGTGCTAATTTATGTCCTGACTCAGACTGATGAAATGTATCCGATGGGTCTGCTGTCTTTTCGGCCACCAATTCAGACTTCGTTCCAACCGGTGGTGTTGTGAGCTGGTCGTGACCATCTTGACTGAGCCAGAGATAAACAGCGCAGCGTGGCGACGTGTTGAGGCCTTCTTCAGACTCGATGGGTGCAACGAAATGCTCATTAAAGCGTACACCCAGAGCGCCGCGGCGTAATTCTTAGCTCATCGAGCTTTCCGAGCGTGACAAAACGCCAACCCTCACCAGCAAAATACGGGGAAAACTGAGCCAGGAGAGAGGAGGATGGCTAGTGCCCTTGACAACGGTTTGCGCACAGCCCGCCTCTCCCGCGCGGTTCGTCTCTTTGGAGACCAAGTGGTTTGCACGCGGCGCGCATCCTTCTGTGGTTACTCCTCAGCGCTCTGTTCGTTCATCGCACGCGCCTTTTGGGCTCCGTTACTCCTTTTCGGATAATTTTGTCTTAGAGTGTATTATAAGTACTTCTATGGCCGCGTAACCTTACAAGTTTGAACGGGCGTTGTACATACTGTGTGGTGTTTTTTTGTCTTTTATAAGGAAAGCCTGTGAAATAGAAAATAAAACCCCACCACAGCACCGTTTATGCGCCCCTGTATATCAAACTTCTTAGACGTGCTTCGAGCGACTTAAAAGGTGTGATGACCCTCAGCCTATCGGGTCTTAGGTACCACGTAGTTTTCTTGTCGTGTGTGGCCGTCCAAGATCTCGACGCGCTGTGAAGACGTTGCCCATGACCACGGCCGCTCATTTCACCACGATCATGAACCGGTTGTTTCGCGCAAAGCACGAGTGAGAGCATTGTACTAGGTAAAGCCTGAATTCACCCATGTGATAATAAGTTTGAAAGTTTGAAAGTTTGAAAGTTTATTGAAATTGATTGGTTACAAATGGTGGTTACAATGGGGTTTACTACTGATACAGAGGGAGGTCCCAAAGTCAAGAGACTGTACAGGGGACCTCCCATAAGAGCTGAGTAAACAAAAGTACTTTAACGCAACAAAGATGTGTACACAAAGTAAACACTCAAAAAGAAGCAATTAACACTGAAACATCGTTGGATTATTTAAAAATTACAAAAGAAAGCAGAGATGATGAAATGATGAAATGACTATGCTGAATGCAGATAATTCCGAAGGTTGATTTTGAATGCGTGGAAATTGGAGATATTTTTAACATGGCATGGTAATGAGTTCCATAGTTGTGTGGCTGAAAAGTTAGTAGTGAACTTACCATAATTAGTTCTGGGTTTCGGTAATAAGAAGCTATTGCTGGATGCGAAACGTGTTGACAAAGAGTAAGGATACTGGCTTTTGATGATTATAGGGAACGGGAGCTTTCCGCCGATGGATTTGTGGATTAGTATTGCGAGGGAATATTTATGTAGTTTTCCCACCGACAGAATACCGTTAGAGGTGAGCAAAGGCAATGCTTCTGATGTGTAGGTGCTATGTGTCATGATGCGAATAGCCTGATTTTGAGTGTGTTGCAATGGAGATAAATGGACTGGATACGTGTTTCCCCATGATGATATGCAATAATTAATATACGTATGAATGAAAGCGTAATAAAGGGATATTAGTGTGTTCATATGGAAAAAATTGCGAACTTTAATTAATATCCTAATGCCATAAGCTGTCTTCTTTGTTAACGATGAAACATGCTCATCAAATTTTAGGTGCTTATCTAATGTGACTCCGAGAAACATGACATTGTCAGTAGGATAAAGTGTGTTTGAAGCGAAAGTTAAAGATGGTGAACCTGAATAAATCGTATGCTTAGAAGAAAAGATGAACTGAGATTTTGTAGCATTTATCTGTAGTTTATTTTGCCGGCACCAGGTAACTATGCTGTCCGCGTCGTGGTTAAGCTTGTAGATTAATGAATCAAGGTGGTTATCTGAGCAGAAAATAGTAGTGTCGTCAGCGTAAAGAATACAGTCAGATGATTTTAGGCATTGTGAAAGATCATTGATGTATATTAAAAATAAGAGAGGTCCTAATATTGATCCCTGCGGTACCCCAATGTTACTTGTTTAGGGTGTGAGTAAGTGTTAGATATAGACACAATATATTCTCTATCTTTTAAGTAGTTACGTAGTAATTTCAGTGGCGGGCCTGCTATTCCAATAGACTAATTTAGCAAATAGTATATTGTGAACAAGTGAATCGAATGCTTTAGACAAATCAATAAAGAGCGCCCCCGTCAAATTACCTGCATCAATTGCCTGCCGGATTTTATCTGTCAAGTAAATTAATGCTAAATCAGTTGAGTATCCCTCCCTAAATCCAAATTGATTTGTTGATAAGACATGAAATTTTGAAAAATAGGAAGACAAGCGTCTTACTATTAGTTTTTCAACAACTTTGCTAAAGAATGAGAGTATAGCTATAGGTCGATAATTAGATGTGAGACGCTTATCTCCCTTCTTGAAAACAGGAATTATTTTGGCGTTCTTCAAGGAGCTTGGAAAAATTCCCGTGGTAAAAATAAGGTTTACTATGTGACAAAATGTTTCAGATATTAAACTTGCTATGAGTTTTATGAGAGAGGGGCGGAAATTATCAATACCGGGCCCGGTATTTTTTAGACTAGAATGATAGTGACTATTTCTTCAGGTGTCACGGGGTGAAGGAAAAAGCTGTGAGGCATGCGTGGGTAAGGCTGGGTCAGAGGATCGTCTTCCCGTTGCTTGTCTGTACAGAAGAAGTTAATAAAAGAGTTAGCAATGTCTAAGGGATTATCGAGAAGTAGGTCTCCCGATTTTATCATTGTTATTTCGCTATGCTGGTTGGATCTACCCAAAAACGAGTTTAAAATTTCCCACTGTTTTTTTACATCATTACCGGCACACTTAATTTTATTTTCATAGTACTGTGTTTTGGCATGTTTGAGTAGTTTTCCTAAACGATTAGAATATTTTTTATACCTATCATGATGCGCAGTATTGAACGGTTGTTTTTTTGTTTTTCTGTAAAGGTTATCTTTTTTTCTTCAGGCAATCAAGCAAACTGCTAGATAGCCATGGGTTACGAGGAGCTGAGAACGGTTTTTTACAGTTCATTATTTCGGTAGAATCTGCAAGGGCATTGGAAATTATCTTTGAAAATGTATCGTAGGCAGTTTCAGGGTTATCGCACGCGATGACTGGGTTCCAGTCTGTAGCAGATATTAACTCAAAGAACTTTGTTGAATTGAGCTTCTTTCTGGTTAGGCCTGTGACAATAGTGCAAGGAGTGTAATTTAAACGCACAAATATTGGATAGTGATCGGTAACAGAGGGTTCGACAACGCCGCAGTCAGGGTTAGTAAGGAGATTTGATAAAACGTGGTCAATAAGTGTACCTTGTTTATTTGCGGGACATCGAGTTGGAAGCGTAACTAGGTTTTCATACCCAAAGCCATTTAGGCAGTTAACGTATTCATTGAACAGTGTGTTGGATGGATCTAGGAGGTTAATATTGATATCGCCCATGATAATGACATTTTTCTGCTCCAGTGATAATTTGTGCAACAAATTACCAAGGGCCGAGCAATAAGCACTTCCACATGATGACGGTGAACGATAGATGCAACCAACTATAAGGTTTTTTTTGTCCTGTGAAAAAAATGAATCGTGAAATTCAACCCAAACAGATTCGCAGTTAGCCACTTTGAGTGTCAAGTCAAGTCGTCTATGAAAACGCAGTTCCGAGGACACGAAAACAGCCGCACCACCATGATTACTATTATCGCGGTGACAGTATTCAGCAGAGTATGAGGGGAAGGTATACAAGTGATTATGAGATGCGGAAA